GCAAATGAACAATTCAAGGAAGTCTACATGACATGGTACTGCAGGTTAATAAAGACTTGAAATTGCTCCTAATATTTCAAAGTCATTTCTCTACTAGGTTAAATCTGATGACTTCTAACATTTGTTGCAAGAAGTCCTTGTAATACCTGTCTTATTTAAGAAAAGAACATTTTGAAAATGCAGATTTGTTCTACATATCACTCTAAAAGTCATACATAAAGCCATGTGACATTTCTGAGCCATCAGATATTGATAACAATTGATGAACATGTCATATATTGAGCCATAACTTTCAAACTAAAGTGCAGCCTTTAAAGTGGAAAAGTGGAAAATTTGAATATGAAGTTGCTATATTTGCATATTCAATGATTTCTTCATAAAAATCTAGATTTATTTTTTCTCTTACGACTCAACTTACATGAAATATATGTATTCTCAGTCAACCACATGTACTGTTAAAGCTTCAGTGATCTGCTCTTCTCCTCAACATCGCTGCATCGTCTTTATCTCGCATCAGTACAAAAAGCTACCCACCACCTGTATAGCAGCCGCTGAATGGTGCAAGTCAAGTGTTCAAATTCAAATATCTAATTTGTTTGTCTTTGTTTGGAGAGAGCCGTTTCTCGCTGGCGCAGCCAGAAGTGTAGGTGAGACACAAAGTGAAGAGCTCTTCATTTGCCTTGGCTGCAGCCCTGCTCTCCAGTGCAGCTGTCTCAGCCTCCAGCCGTCATTTGCGTCTCTACACTGCTCTGTGATGGAAAGGTGGAGGCCTCTCACGGCGGCATCAATGCATGGCTCCAGGGCCCTTAGCAGTGGAGGCTCCAAAGTATACGCAGTGATGCTAAACCCAAGTACACTTCAGGGAGGATTAGGGGCTCCCTATGCAGCTCAATGAGACTGATGCCACTGGAAGGGTTTGCAGCTTTAATGTGGAAAAATGCAAGAAATGCTAAAGAGATTGTTTTGGAAAATAGTGAAACTTTGCTGTCTCTGTGAATGAAAACAGTCTTAGCAAGTTGCACAACATGATCTATTTGATGCGGACTGTAAATCATTTAAGTCACTGAAGCACATCAACATGTTAAAAACGTTCATGAGCACAAAGGCTGACAGCGGTATTAGTTTTTATTAGCAGCGAAAGTCGTATGCTTAATCCAACAGCACCAACACCGAGATGAAAGGCTTGTGAACAAACATAAGACAGTAAATGTTGTGCGAGTGCCAGATGGAGATGCATAAGCAAACTATGGCAGCTATGAGCCTGAGCTCCAGTAACAACGGGTACCTGAGAAATTACTCACTGCTGATTGTTCTCAACCATCAAGCATAAGAAGCTGTCTTAGGCGAAGGGTGAGGTCCGCTGCGAATGACATGACATGTCCATCACATCTGTCAGAGGCTGAAGTGAAGACGCCAACATTCAAACACATGATTATGGTTCTGTGGATAAGACTGAATGAACTGAGTGCGATATTCCCTGAGTTTGCACTGTGCTCTGAAAACACAACTCAAATTTACTCTTTAAAAAACATTTAACTTGACAGGCTTAAATTTTAATGTAACATATATGCGCCACAAAATGCACTTGGGTTCCCTGCATCGTCCAGGACTTGATCTGTGCTCTTGTTGGTTTTAAAGCATAAGACCTTTGTCTATTTTCTACACTGTGTATAATATTCTTAGCCTTTTATTGTTTTTATGCCATGCCTTTTTGAACAGTGTTTTGATGGACAAAAAAAAAATCTGAATGATTTCTTGGTCTTGTTGTGAATGGTGCATCCAAAAGCAGTCGCATTAACCTGGTCTGCAATGTTTCAGACATTTTTAAGTATATTTCTGTCTTTTTTGGATAAATATTGGGTGATATTCAGATAACTGTACAAAAGTCTGTATGTTTGTGTGTTTCACAAAAAACTTAACATAAGATCACAGGATGGGAAACAGTCCAAACTTAACAGTTTTTGCATTTAGAAACCATAGATTTGTGATTTCTTCTTTTTTTTTTCATTTTAATTTGATAAATGAATTTTTAAAAGCTGTTTTCTATCTACAAATTGATTATTAGCAGCTGATTCTATCAGAATTAATTTACATGTATTTACATGTACCCTGCAAAATGCTCACAATGACGATGCACTGTCATCAAGGAGCGTGTACATTTGCCTGAATTTGAACATTATGCTAAAGACCGAAGATGGAAAAAAAGGGAAAAACACATGCGTTCCTCTCGTGGTATCCTTACATTAACACTGTCTGTTCACTTTGCCTTCGGAGAATGACAATGTTCTCACAGATTACTAACAACATGAAGTCAAACACACAATCAAACCTAAAAAAAAAAAATAAGAAGAAATGTATTATTCATTGGACTTCATTCAAAAATCCAAAATGAAGAGAAATAAATGTTGAGTTTAAGTAAGCAAGACATGACCATAAATTATACAAATATATCAGACATATCATAAAGGTTTTACTGTGTATACTGAAGAAAAATGAAATAACTTTGTCTTTTGTGTAAGAAATAGCAACTTATTCTTACTATCATAAAGGACATTGCATCAATTATTGAGCAATTCAGCACCCGTAACTTCCAGGTAAAGGTTTCACTAACTAGTCACATATTTAGAAATAATAATAATCAAAAAATAATTTTAAAGGAAATTGAAGACTAGCCTAAACACTAACACAGACAATCACAGATACCTCGATGACACCTGGATATTTTCACTAAATACATAAACATTATAAAACTAAAGTCACTTCTTAACAAATGTAATATTACACTTCCAATGTTTTTTTTTTTTATTATGCACTTTTTTAATCTCTCTTTTAACATTCTGTTTTTAGCAAGTTTTTAGATGCACCGTCTTGAAAAGCAAGCAAAGCAGCAAAGTTGAATCGCCTGTAAGTACCTTCAGGTCTCATGTTAACCTAAAAGAGCTCCTCGTCTCATCACATACTGCACCCAGCCCAGTATGTAACAGGGTGCTGCAGCCCAGGACACACGCATCCTCCCCACAGGACTAAACCTTTCATCGGGCTGTTTGTCTTAGCAAACCCACACTCTCCCTCCACGCTGCGGCTCTGACACATGCCTGCAGTTTTAACCCAGGCTTGGTGTTGAGGGGTGGGAGTGTGCTGCCGTGGTTCCCTCTCTGTTTGTTTAAGAGATTAAAATGGTGAACCCCAACCCTGAGGAGTCCCCGGACTTCATACCGCCTGAGCTGCTCGCAGTATCAGCATTGCCTCTGTTCTTAGTGACAGTGAAATGTAATAGAGTCAGATTAAAAGCAGATATTTCACAGCTGAGACCATCTAAGAGCGGGATCGGTCATTTAAATCCCAAAGTGTGTGCAGAAACACACTCATAGAGAGAGAAAAATATGTCATGACATTTGACTGTATGCCCAGTAAGTATTACCACCAATTCACAAAACCAGTTTCAATGAAAAATGCCTATGCCGAGAGTTGGTTATTCCTGTCTCTCGGGTTGCGTCCAGGCTTTATGATGATGGCTTATATTTTGCATGCTGAAATCACAGGAGGGCCTTTGTCTGGAAAACATTTACATCTCTTAACACAGCTGGCCTGTCCAACCACTGCCACAAAACAAACAAGGAAGCAAGATAGAAAAACAACTCATAGGTTAAGTTACCACTAAAGAGGTGTTTTAGTGTTAAACGTCAAAACAACATGGACCATTTTGGATTTTTTAAAATAAACTGAGGTCAGCTTAAAAAGGGGATTTGAATATTAAGAGGAAACAATGTCTGTCTGGACAGTTCTGGTGACTTAAACTAAATAAAGTTCCGGAAAAGAATTAATCTGATAGTCAGCAAGTAAATATATATAGTTTTTAAAAAAGTCACCTTTGAAAAGTCAGTGTTTAGTTTTTGATCAACATCAGTTGAAACTTTTTAAAGTCTAACAAGAAATGATTTTGAGAGCAGATTTTTTTTTTTTGCTCCAAGATAAATGTAACTGCATAACAGCTATTTATTTTGTATTTTTTTAAAAACACTCCTGAAATCGAAATATCCACCTGAAGGTATGCAGACTTTGTCAAACATGAACAATAGACCCTTATAAAGCTGAGGTATGTTAAGAGCATGTGATGCTCAGGGGGGTGTGGCCCTCGAGCTGTTCTGCGGCGGTAATACACTCTACAGGTAACGCTGAGTGACTCATTCTCACACACACCTTAAACACCACAAATGGCGTTCTCACACCTCAACTCTTCAACTTAACCTGACAACAAACTACAGGAGTAAAGCTGAACGAGCGCCGCATTTACTGACGGACGTTTTCTCAGAGAAGCAGATTTACTTCTACTGCATTTTAAAGACCTGCTGGATTTGGACTCAGAGACAGTGAGTTGTTAAAAACAAATGTGAGCTTTCTAAGCAGGATTGCATGTTGGCCAGAGCTCTTGTTTTGATTTGTCAAGGATCTAATTTGTTTCCACCAACATAGGGAACTTCCTCAAAGCTGTGGAAGTACTCACACTGTGCAGCTTTTGCAGCAAGTTCACTGTGTAATCTGTCTTTTTAAGGGAGTTTTTTTTTTTTAACTGTCCACAACAATGCCAGTGGTCAAAGTGGAGAAAGAGTCTCCAGCAGACAGCACCTTGCCTGCCTCCAATCCTCCACCACAGACTGAGGAGCAGCCCCGAGGTCGGAGGAGGAAGAGACCCCTCCAGAGGGGGAAACCGCCGTACAGCTACATCGCACTCATTTCCATGGCTATTGCCAACTCCCCGGACCGCAAACTGACACTGGGGGGCATCTACAAATTCATCACAGAGCGCTTCCCCTTCTACAGAGACAATTCAAAGAAATGGCAAAACTCCATTCGCCACAACTTGACTCTCAATGACTGTTTTATCAAGATCCCTAGAGAGCCTGGACGGCCAGGAAAGGGCAACTACTGGGCACTGGACCCAAACGCAGAGGACATGTTTGAGAGTGGCAGCTTTCTGAGGCGCAGGAAGAGGTTCAAGCGCTGTGACTTGAGCACCTACACCTCATATGTGCACGAGGCGCCAGTGTTCTCACCTGTCCAGATCACCAGATCTGCCGCATACACCAACTCAGTCTACCCCAACATGACAGTCAGTCCGGCCTACGGGCAGCAGCTGCCCTCTGCCTACTACCCCTCTTCATCACCTCCTGGGTTCGGACACGGTCAGACCCGCATGTTCAGCATCAACAACATCATAGGACACCCGAGTCCAGCCAGCATGCTGTCAGGTCAAGGGCCGGAGGGCTTACAGCAGTCCAACCGGAGCTTCAGTCCCGAGGGCCTTTCCAATGGATCCAGCCCCTGCAGCCTGGGACCTCCGGGCTTCCAGAGCCAACCATGCGGGGGACCTGTTCCATCCCGCTCCTCTTCACATCCAGGGTTCACCTACTCTGGGCCGAACAGCCATCCGCACCACCACCCACACCAGGGCTCGTATGGACAGAGTCACACCCAGGGCTATGCAGCGGGAGGACGGCTCCACGCCTCAGCTCACGGGCCTGCCGACACGATGGACCATTACGGCAGAGTCTCCCCAGTGCAGCTGGGCTCGTTCTCCCAGTATAACAGCGCTGCGGGTCCCATCGCCAACACTGGGGGATACCTGAGACACCCCACATACCCAGGGAACATGGACCGGTTTGTTTCTGCCATCTAAGCTTCAGTTAAAAGAAAATCAGACACTTAAGACGGCACTAAGTGAGCCAGACATTTCTGCGCACAAACGTGATTGCTTTTCTTTGTTCATAACTTTTATTCAGGACAAAACTTAACAGGCTGACCTCTGTTGACACAACTGTGATTTTCCATATTAATTCTAAAAAACATTTTCCATATTGATGGTAACCTACTTTTAGACATATAAGTTTAGTTTAAACGTCAAGGCCTCTTCTCAGTAAGAGCTCAAGAGTGTATAATACGTCTCATTTTGTGTGTGGTTGTTTTTCCTTTTTATCGTGTCATGACTTGAATGTCCCAGTAAAATATTTGCATTAGAGTTTAAATGACAGATTTGAAATGTTTGTATAAATTATTGTGCTTCATGGTCATAGGCTTTGCAATAAGTGGCTTGATGAAGAACATCAGCTTTAGTGCATCTGCATGTATTTTGTTGCCAAATGAAAATGCATTTTTAGTTTTGCCCTTTTTTTTTTGGAAATAAACAGCATGATATAGCACTTTTATTCTTCAAGAATAAACTATTTAAATTATTGATGAATGAATTGCTATTACAGTTTAAGCTGTCGTGCCAAAATATTACCCTATAATTGTTATGTTTTATTGTTCCCAGAAGGGAATTTGATTTGCAGCCAGGTGTCACACATCAGATACATTTGTAGAAGCTATAAATCAATGGTAATATAACAGCCAAAACATTCAGACATAATGCCACCGGGGATATAAAAAAAAAAAAACATTTGCTCCAACATTTCTTCTTCCTCTTCTTTTGTCCTTGTGTTGCTTTTTACGTCGTTTCAGCTCGGCTGGTCTGAAGTGTTGTCTGGAGCCGCAGTATTAGCAGCGACTGTGACCGGCCCCAATTATCATGTCCAGACATCAGCACAGCACTTACACATGAATCCACTAATCACGAAAATGAATTGACTTGTAACTCGATAGTTCATCCCATGAAGTTAAAACAACACAACACCAGGAACCTCTGCCACACTAAGTCTGCATGTCTGACAAGATGAGGCTCGTGCAGAGTCACTTCATGAAGACACGACTTTTCTATCAAAAAAGAAAAGATATACGACATGATGGTATTTTTCTTCTTTTGAAATGGTCTTAGTTTTTCTTGAGGCACACTCAATATAAAAATATGAGGATTAAATAAGAATGACAATAATCAGCAGATGGCGAGTTAAAGGGTTTTCTGAAGGACAATTAGTTTTTAATACGTACAGAACTGTCTTACAATTGAGTGAGATTTGATTGAGAAGAAGCAGCAGCTTGGTTTAAAGTCTACAAGCAGGAAAACTTTCGACTGATTTTCGATCGTTTATTTCCCCACAGTGCACTTACTCAGTGCGTATCTCTTTTCTGTGGTCTACATTGGCATTAACAGCACATGAAAACAAAAATTTACTGCGTAGTATATTAAGCTAAAGTTTGAAGAAGTGAAATACCATGAATGCACTTTTCCAAACTTTTACTGAATAATTAAATGTAGTGAGGAAAGAAAACACCCACGGAGTATTTAAAAAAAAAAAAAGAAAAGAAAAAAAAAGTTATTTTTTAATAGCTACACAAACACTAATGAACACCTTAATAATTTCATTGAATTCATAAATTATATCTAGCACAGAATCAACATTAGGCAAACATGAAACCTTTAAAAACCTGGTTTAGTTTTATCATGATGTGACAGAAAAAAAAAAACCTTCAGTGTAACTTAACGCTTTGAATCATGTGTTGTTATCTCAGTCTAGCTTAGAGCATCAATATATTCAGTGTACAGCTGCTGTTTTTTAGTTTCCATGAGGGCAGATATATTTTTTAAAAAACATCCTTTTTAATTGTGTCATTCTTTACTTTTAAAATGTAAAAGTACAACAAATAAAGACAGACTCATAAGACTTAAAAATTACTTTAATGTTACTAAAAATCAGTACACTTACAGCCATGAAGAGCTAAAACAAAACATAAATACAACGAACACGAGTGACAATAACAAAACACGTCAGCCAATGTATTCAACGAGCTGCTGGAGCTGGTCACAATTCTTCACAACCTCCGGCAAAGACAGCAACGTCTGTGTGGAGAAAATTAAAACATTTGTTACCGCAAATATCCAGACATGCTACAGACAGGATACCAAAGATGAAAAACAGACCGTGTCTCTCACCTCCCTGACTTTATTGATCATGTTGTTTAATATCTGAAGCTCATTTTCACTTTTCTGCTGGTTGGTCTGATGGATGATTTGCTGTGAGAGATGTTACAACAACATGAATATAAGACAGTTCTGAGATGAAGCTTTTTATGTTTCTCTACCACAATAGAGGAATCTGCTAGTACGTAGTCGGTACTTACGTGTCTCTTTGCTCTTTCAAGGAGTTTAACTCTGGTCTGCTCCACTTCCTGAAGACTTGCCTTCAGTCTTTCCACCTATAAATTAAATTCAACAGATATCTGAAAAAACGCTCATGAAACATGCTTTATCAAAAACAGGCTGAAAACTATGAGAACACATGAAAGATTCACACTATTTTGTTTATTTAATGCACATAACATTAATGCCCAATTATACCTCTTTCAATAACTGGATCTTCTCTTCCATGAAATGTGCTGGTGTAGCTGATTGGCCACCACCTTTCCTCATCTCCTCCCGCAGGAACTGAGTCTCCACCCTCGATTGCTGGAGAGCGCGACGAAGCTCAACCACATCCTTTCGTAAATCCTTAAAAATGGACCAATATTTAGAGAAAATTTAGGCAACGCTTCTCCACCAGAAAAATACAATGAGTTTTCAAAACAGTTCTTTGGAGGCTTACATTGTTTTCAGTCTTGTGTTTGTTTAGGATTTCCTGGGCCTCTTGCACCTCTGCTATCAACTTTGTCACAGTTTTCTCATCCTTTAAAAAAGGAAACATGTTTAAATAAACTTGTCAGTGTTTTTCTCTGCTTGAACAAATCATTTCCATCAGTCAGCAGCCTTCTGTAGCAATCGATGTCTAGTACAAGCAGTCCTTTACCTGCGCTTTCTGCTGCAGAGCCTGGTTTCCCCTCTCAACCAGGCTATTGAGACGGCCAAGTTGATGCTTCAGATCGAACACTTCAGCCTCATGTCTGATGTTTGCAGCCTGCTGCTCCACCTGCAGGCCACAGCTGGAACAGCACATTAGAGATTGTTGAAGGACATGTATTGTCTTGAATTTTACATTTTTGCAACAAAATACTTTTCTTTTGTAAAAATGACTCCAATCAACCAAATGTGAAAAATCTGGAGACAATTTGGAGAGAATGCAGAATCACTCATTTCTTCTAATCACAAGAAAACTTGTATTTAAAAACAAACAAACAACAAAAAAAACATACATTCTGTTATACACAAATTTGTCCATAGATACCAAAATCAAACTCAGATGCAGGTCCTATTTTAGGTCAGCGTTTGTATTCCTAAGTCCTCTTTCACATTTGTTTTCCTGGTAAAATAGCAGCAGTAAACTATTTTAACATCACCAAAACTATTTAGCAGGTGTTGAAAAAGTTAGTTGATATTTGAATATTTGACTATAAAAATTTTCGCCGATTCATTTCTGCTGATTAGCAGATAGTCATGTATTAAGCTCAACATGACAAACGTGCCAATTCCAGCTTTTCAAAAATGAGAACTTGCTCCTTTTCTCCATATTTCATTACTATAATCTGTGTTTTCGTGTTTAGAAACTTGTTCTGGGCCTTTTTTAATAACTCAAAAAAATCTGCTCATTAATGATTATTATTAAATTCATAATCCATCTAATGAATATATAAATGTATTATTCATAATCTCAAAGTAGCTTCACACGTGAAAAAGGCCATCTTTATGTTTTCGCCAAACAGAGAATTTTAATATCACTTACATGGTGGTGTGCAGCTCCTCCAGCTGAGCGTCTTTGCGCTGTTGCACCAACTTCAGGGTGCTGACGAGCTCGGTAACAGTGCTGCCCAGGTCCGCGAGCAGCTCTGCCACACTGTTCTGTTGCTCTGCTTCTGGTTCAGACTCTATTGCATTCAAATTCTTTTTCGGGGTGATGGCTGCAATGCGGGTGAAGGCGCTTGTCGTGCTGAACAAAGTTTCACACTGTGGCGCAGGTATGTCTGAAGGGTCTAAAGAGACAGCTTAGATTTCCAACTGTTCAAAGTCATTCGATGACATTTAATCCTCTATCAGATGAGTTTGAATTTGTCATTATATTTGTCCATGGTCGGTGCACAATGTTCAGTTTTACTTAATTGCAGCTCTACTCCGTTGGTGGCTGTGCAGATCAGCAACTGCCTCAAATTACTCTTGTGAGTCATGTGTTAATTTAAAACACAGTGAACAATTTTTTGTTGTAAATTTTAGATGACAGCCAGAAAATGAAGAGTGCTTATTATCCAAGGGAAAAATGTGATAATGACATGAGCAGATAACAGAAAAAGGACAAGAATAGGAACAACAACAATTACTGGAGCATGAGAACACGTCATGGTCGCCTCCTACCTAAAGAACACAGAGTTCTTTGTAGGATTAGGACCACTAAGCATATATTACTGCCTCTATTTCATAAAGGGGACACATGCTAAACATACAGTATATTTAAGCCATTTAAATGAAACACCTGTCACAGTAAACAACATAATTACATTACACCATAATAAATCCTATTTTTAGATCAGCTCTACTCATGACACGTGGGGTAAGCAACGATACCTGATCCAGCAGATGTGTCTGTTTTAACATCTTCCTCCTTCTCAGCAGTTAAAGCCACCATGATGCTGTTGACAAAGGAGCTGGAGGAGTGACAGCGCTCCATATTATGGACTGGTTGTGACTCTTTATCCTTCTGTGGTTCTGGTTTCTGAAACATAAGACATAAACCCAATTCTCTCTTACAAGCTAATTCCCAGCAGTGTTGCCTCAAAGCAGTTTCAGTGTTGTAAAATATGAGGTTTAAAAGCACAGGTACACTGAATGTACACATTTGTCATAACTGAATGACAACTGCGACGAGTGAAGGAATATTGTTATTGGTCCTTAACTACCACTAGTTACACATTTTTCATTTTACTAGAAAAATGGGTGTCTCTTTGTACATATCTACTATATGCAAGACTAAGCACATGAACAGTTTCTGGAACAAAACTGATGAACTCTGGGTAAGTTGTTCTGTTGTGGTTTGTGTTGCTGTGTTACCTGGTCACTGAGAGCAGCGTGCAGCTCGTTGGTCAGTCCTCGAAGTGTATGATGCAGCAATGTGATTTCAGTGACAGCCTGAGCCATCTTCTCTCCAAGCTCCAGCTCGGTTTCACTGGCTTTGGTCCTTGTGGTTTCCAGCTTCTCCTGCAAATTCCTGTTCTCCAGCCTGCATCACACATACACAAACAGTTAAGTTATCATTCAGCAAATAGGCAAAATGCTGAACAATTTTAGAACAATTTGTAATAAGATTAGCAAGAGATTTTTTTCAAGGACTTGGTATGCACAGAGACATGTTTATATTGATGAAATTATACTTTTAAAAAGCCAGTTCAGAGATATGACTTAATATCTTTGGCTTCACATTTCCTTCTAATCGCTCGCACAAAATACTAAACTGTTTCCACTAATATTGTACAGGCATCCAGCACACTGGGTAAAGTACAATACATACTGTGAAGAACGTGGTGAGCAAATAACAAAAGCAACAAATCAGACAAAATAAAAAAAAAAAGATTTAAACTTACTGAAGTTGACAAAGTTCTCCTTTGAGGTCCTCACACTCGATGTTCCTCTCCCGAAGCCCCTGCATGTTTGCTCTCAGCAAACGCTCACTTTCAGCCACCTGCTCCCTCGCCAACTCATTCTCCACCTGCAAGAACTGAACCACACGTAGACAAGAGAAACATGAAATCAATCATAAGACAAAAGTCATAAACTATTGCTACGATGACTGAATGAGCCTTTCTACAACAATAACAACAACAACAACTCACGATCGGCAATCTGTTTACATATTACAAAATATTCAAAGAGCTTTTATAGCTGAATGCATCATCAGAGAGAATTAGACTACAGGGGGACTTGTTACCAGATGACTTATGTTATGCAAAAATTGTACTGTTAGGCACAAAAGCTGGATCTAAGACTTTTACTTTACAAAGATATTTCTTTGGATTCTGGTCTTGATTCCTTAGATTATATGACAGTGAACAATTTACATGAAAAGTCGCATAAAGAAAAAGTAAGAGGGTCTTAGTCACACACATTTTCCAAGCAAACAATCCAACTTATATACAATCTCTGAGCTAACCTCATTCATTTCCCGCACGCCGTTGAGTTGTGTACAAACATCCTGGAGCTGCTGGATCTGCAAACTCTGAGACTGTGAGAGAATCTGCAGCTGACTGAGCTGCTCCTCACTCTGAGCCAGAGCCTGACTCAACTCACACACTCGCTCCTCCGACTGATCCAGTGATGCCGCCAACCTGGACACAGTCAAAGACAATAACACACACTGCAGCGTTAGTTGATGTTTTTTCTACAACATATGACGGCATGTGGAAATGACTTAAGTTGACTAGAGATCGTCACTACTTACTCATTTGCTCTCTCATTGGTTTGTTGTATGTCTTTCCATGACTGCTGCAACCTGTGAAATACCAGTAAGTTTTAAAGCACATACTTTGCTGCATTTGAATGTGTTTGCCTTTCTAAGTTCCTCTTGATGAAAATTGGGGGGGGGGGGGTGTCATACTTTGTAGACTCGGCAGCAAGGGCCTGTTCCAAGAAAGTGTAGGAGGCCAACGAGGAGGAAACTGTAGCAGACAGCTCTGTCACTTTCCTCTCTAGCTGACCCGTCTCCTCCTCTTTTTCTGTCAGTTTCTGTCGCAGCACACCCATCTCTGAGGTTAATGTAAAAACGAAAATATTTTAAGTTGGCAAATTTATAGGCTAATAAAAAGTAAAATCTTTTTTTTTTAAAAAGAGGGGATGAAATAACCAAAGGAAGATAAACGTCAGTTTTTACCTGATGTCAGAATTGTCACTTGCAGATTTAAATCACCAATCTGTTCTCTGGCAGTTTGGAGATTCACATGCACTTCATTTAATTCTTCTTCAATCTGTTGAGTGCAAGTTTGTTGAAATGATGAGCAAAATCTGAATTTTTATGAGGCGAGTAGAAAAGAGGTGCAAGGCAGTAAATGTTCAAGTTAAAATATGGACATCTGACCTGCTCTCGCTCTTCAATGGCTTGGTCTCTTGCAGAAATATGCTCATCCCTCTCCCTCAGAGCAGCAGCTGCCTTCTCATTCAGCTTCAGCAGCATGGGAGCAGTTTTTTGTATTAGGCTCCTGACTGTGAAGAGCTATGAAAAGATGACCATGTGAAAGCATCAGCATTATGAGCATTATCAGATTTAAAAACAAAGCTGTAAATGCTGTCACCATTCTAATATGACAGTATGTAGTTACTGCTTGTGGCTTAATGTTACAGAGGTTGAACTGCAATTTAAACGTGTGTAACAAAACACTATTGGCTTTGTTGTCATTACTTCTATCCCAACATACGCTATAACGGTTCTGTTACATGCCTACAGTCTATATAAGAACATATATATTGAACATACTTCCTTCATTAAGCTGGACTGTTCATCCATGGTTTGGGACAAAAGATCAGAAGCTGACGCCAGTGTTTCACTGTAGGTCTTATTTAATGCAACCTGCATTAGTAGAAAGCAAAAAGCAGAAATTAGACACACTGAATGTGAAGCCTAATAATTTGCTATTTAGCTTTTTGTTTTTGCCTGTTTTCTGTACCTGTTCTGGATAGGTCTGGTTTAGTGCAGCCAACAGTTCTTGCTGACACCCCACACTCTTCTCTAAAGCAGAAATTTCTGTGGCACAGTGTGTCCTCAGCTGATCCATTGCACTGAAGGCCTGGAAGGAGACAACCAGACACACATTCTTAAAGTAAAAATGGTCTAAAAATATTAGATAACACCACATACCTGGAAATAACTTTGGAAGGCACTTTGGATAGTCCCCTGAATTATTACAAGTAAAACTAGCATACCACTGCTCATACATTGAACCACTGAGCCCACGCAACGATTAAATGACTAGTGCTTACTGCCTCCTTGGCTGTGAAGGCCTCTTCCATCTGAATCCTCATGTCATTTCTTTGGTGAAGAGCTTCTTTGACCTTCTGGATCATTCTTGTCTGTGTCTCCTTTGACTTCTCAAATAGAGACTTCATGTGCCCGTACTAAACAACAGAAGAAGAATACACAACAGTTAGTGCATAACGTGATACCAGATACATAACTGTAGAGACATGCATTCCGTTGGTGTCATGTGAGAAAGACAGTAAAGATGTTTACTTACATGTGAAACAAGGCTTTGATGATCCTCTCTGACAACGTCACCCATTTCTTTCATGCTAGAGAGGGCAGCATCTGTGTCGCTACTTAAAGAAGTCTGTAGGGACAAATACACACACTTCCCTGTTATCACAGAACAATATCATGTCTCTCCATTTTCATCCTGCATGAAATGGAGTTAAATCATAAAATCCAGAGCATTCTATCTACAAAGATGAAACAACATGGACCATGGGTTATGTGACTGTTTGTGTCTCACCATGGTGATCCTCATGTCTTGCATACACTGCATAAGGTTCTGTAGAGAACTTCCATCTCGCTCCAGTTCACCAATCCTGCTCAGAGCTTCCATATATAGGTCTCTGTACATTGTAGTCTGTATGAGATACAAAACAAATAACTGCTGAAAACAAATATGATGGGCTCTATGAAAAGTAAAATCAGTGGAACGCTAGGATAAAACAATTTGATGGCATCATCAAAGTGAGAGAATTTAATATACAAACATGCCACTGATAGTTTGTGTCCTTACCTGACTAAGTTCGGTATGGTCTGTCTGCACTAGTTTCTCCCTGAGGTCTGAGGGAGCAGGGCCTGCAGGTGGACATACTTGTGCCCTGGCTGCTGCCAGCTGCTGCACCAGGGCCTCAACCATTATCATGCTGGTATTTAACCTCTGTTCCAGCTCCAGCCTGGGAAGACCCTGTAAGCTGCCTGGAGGTAAACTGAGACCACATAAACAGAAAGAATGCTGAATGGCAGATATAGAAATCGCAAAGCCAAATAAGTTGTGTCCATAATCACAAAACGTCAGGGGCAACCTAGCTTTAATTAACGTAATAACATAGAGAAAACACTCACTTCCACAACAGAGGGTCAGTCACAGTGCAGGAATCGACCACAGTGAATTCCCTCTTTCTCTCAAAAAGGCCAGATGTATTGAGGCTATGGTCCACCAGTTTCACAGGAGTGGTTCCCACACAGATACTGTGGGATTCTGCAAGAGGAGCTCCAGCTGATGGTGCCATGAAGGCAGTAGGAGCAGGAGCAGACGCAGAGACACCAGCCGGGCCCATCTTTCCTGATGCCAAGAGAAGGAATTCGGCCATCTGCCGAAGCTGCTGCTGAAGTGGACCATCTGGAATCAATGGGACATCCAGGACTGGCTTCTCAACCTTAGACTGAGGCGCTGCACAGAGCTTCTCTGCCAAGTCCTCAGCCAGCTCAGTGACTGGGTCTGGCGGGGGCTTGTAGCCCAGTGCAGTAGAGTTAAACAGAGGACGAGGTATGGGACTGTCCAAGTGTTCTGCCCATAACCCAGCAGGGTTGATGTTAACAGGAGCCAAGAAGCTTTTCTCACCCTCAAGAGCAGAATCATCAGCCAAAAACTGGTATTGAGCAGGAGCCCCATGATCCTTTAATAAATACTGAGAGGCTCTCCTGACAACAGGAGTGAGGATTCCCAAAGCTGAGGCAGCTGACGGACACTCTGACAAGGCTTTCAAAACATCAGCGAGATTCTCTGCAGGAGGTTTTTCTGCAGAGTTACAAAGAGCAGGTCCATTTCCAGATGAACCAAGGGCACTGTCTTTTGTCTCACTGGATTCAGAGGGTCCCCTTTTGGAGTACGATTGAGAGACATGTTCCAAATGCTGCTGTGCTTCAATGGGTGCAGGACTCTCTGCCGTAGATACAAGGTGACTGCAGTCAGAAATCTCAGTTCTATGAACTACTGAAGGCAAAGCATCTTCCTCAAGTTGAATTGTATACTTTGACAGTTCTTGTCGTTGACATTTAACAGTTCCGTTATCCAAAGCTTTTAAAGATGTGTTAGTTGGAGGAGATCCACTAATAGCTGGTGGGCCAGTATCTACCACACCTTCATCATTTTCCAAGTGGCTGTTAGGTTGTTTGTAGTCATCTTGAATGTGATGCTGTGTAACAGAAGTAAATACACTGCTGTGATCCACGACCTGGTCTTCGGGTAGTGGGGAGGTCTTCTCGGACAACTGGACATCATCTGATTTTTCAATCTGACCATCAGTTGTGATGAAAGAGCTGAATTTAACACTCTTTCGTTTGGCAGTCCGGTTACCAGCTACCACTAAGCTCATCTGTTTTACTTCTGCAGCATCTATGCTGCATAGCAATGGTTCCTGTGTTGTCGAAAGGTTGCCACGTGGAGGTGAAGAATAATTTTGAACATCACAGTACAGGTGATCTAAATGCTCTCTGCAGTTTTGCAAATCATAGTCTCCAGCTAACTGGCTTGGATCCTCACCATAACAGTATGACTCGCTGCTGGTTACAGTGTGGTTGGCTGGTAGTGGAACAGTCTCATCTGCAAATTTGGTACCTTCTGAAATTTCAATCTCTCCTCCAGTGCAGTTAAATGACTTGAAGGTGACATCAGTCAGTCCATGAGAAGGCTTTTCAGAACTTGGTATTTCAGAGGCAGTGTTGATGACAGGAGCAACTGGTTTTTCATTGTTATAGTACGGATGATCAGCATGTTCAACCTGACACTGCTGTCCATAGTCGACAGAGAAGTCTGCTGAATTTACAGTGTTGTCTTGTAAAGGTTCACAAAACTCTGTCTTGGGTAGAGGAATGGTTTCATCTTGTAGTCTGGTGGCATCTGAAACTTCTACCTCACCCATATCGCCAATGAAGGATTTCCAAGTCACACATTTCTCTCCACTGCAGTGATTCAGAAAATCTCTTGAATCTTGTGTGACTATTTTATCATCCAGGTCTCGAGAGGTTAGTGTAGTGTTGGGAACTTCACAGTGACCTGTTGTGTTGATATCAACAGAGTAAGACTCTTTTATCTCAGGATTGTGATAGGGATGTTCTATATGTTCACTGCATGACTGCACGACCATACTGTGAGACACAATTGAATCTTCGTTTTCATTGTTATACGTAGCCTGGTCTTTTGGCAAAATAAAGCTCTCTTCTGCACACAATGATGAGCCTGAAATCTCAACCTCACCACCAGCACAGATGAAGGATTTAAATGTTACATCTCCAAGTCCACAAGCAGTCTGAGCAGTTGTCATATCAGCGATGGAAGGACTGGTTTGTGTCACTCCGCTGGATGGAGGAGACTGCAAGTGGGGATCTGGGCCACTGAGAGGAATGTCGTCCTGTTGATAAGAATGAGCGGTCAACAAAAAGTTGCAAATGTGTTAAAAACAATGAAAGCGTTTCCAAATGTTAGTTAACACTTACTATTGTCTTTTTCCCAGCAGCAGTACTGAGCTGTGATTTTGATTTGAACCTTGATGGAGTTGATATGTGCAGAGATTCATTGTCCAGGCTTCTCAGAGGGGTACGCTCTCCAGATCTACTGAGGGACTAGCATCAACAAAAGTTGAATCATGGTTAGCTCGCTTGCTCAGTAATCATTTAACACTGTATATTGGGCATGAAAGAGAGCTAAAGTCTCACCAGGTCTTCCCCACTGGAACTTGACTTCCTGGAGGACATTATTCTGAAGTTCTCTGAAACTACCTGCACAGCTGTAAGAAAAGACAAAAGATTTCATACTGTTTTAAAAAGTGTTTTGTAAATTTCTTGGCTGATTAAACAACACTTGGGTATCGATGAGAAGGGTTTTCTAAGCTTCAGTCATTCATCCTGCTTATACTGACACCTAAGACTTAAAATTCAATTTCAAATTTAGTGTTTAAGTACAAAATCCAGTTCTTCTCCTCTGCAAAACACAATCCACAGCTCAGCCAAAGACAAGACTTCATCAGTCAATACTAACTTTGAAAGATATCCTGTTGATGTCACTAAATCAGACTGTCCAATCCTCCTAATGCCCAACACAGTATGAGTGCTGTAGATTTTGACACCTTTCACTTACACTGAAGGAGAATAGATCGCATCTATTTTAACAGCAAAAGGTACATTTTAAATACATTTCATTTTAAGATAGACTTGAAAAAAATTGTGTGTCTGTCCTTTAATCCACTATCCACAGAGAATTCTGGTTAACGATAACAAGTTAGCTAAGACGCTAACTTACTGACGTTAAATGACCTGTCAGGTTCAGGCAGTTGACAAAACAAAAATGCTTATTAGCACATTCATACGCGCTTATAACTACCGAAACCTGTCTTAAATCACGAAATACCACTAAATGTTCACACACCATGTTGCTAGTAATGATAACAGCAAAGGCGTATACTTGTAGACTTGAGAACGTTACCTCAGTCGTTCGCTAACGTTAGTTATGCTAGCTCAAGTTAGTTTTCACAGACTCTACAAAGGACATTTTATTTGTTTAAGTGTAAAATTACATTACCTTTCAAACGTTGACTTTAACCACAGTTGTAAAAAACTGACGAGTCCGGGGTAAACTAATGTTGTTGAGCTGCTATCAACCGCGTTTCATTCAAAACACAAATGTCAGCGCTGCTATTGGTCCATTTGTCTTCTTCGGTGGTTGAGTGATGCGCTGCACTCTACCGCCGACTGCTGCCCCCTACAGGAGCTCTGTCACTACTGCAGGGCGTCTGGTTGCTAACAGGAATCTATAGATTTCTATTATGCTCGTCATTTGTTTAATGTCTGAATATGTAAAACAACACCCATCTATTCAATTGTTCTTGCAGCCTTGTTGCCACATTCTAAACTCTTCTCTTTCAGTTTGTGGAAACACATTTGAAACTTGCTCCACTCAGTAGTTCTCAAAATAGTTTTGTCACTGTCACCTAATTTTGTCAAAGGTGAAAATTAATTGCTACAGTGTAAATTAAAGGCCAGTACAATTACAAAAACTTAGAAATTACAAAAACATGAGAAAATGGAAATTTTACAAAATTGCTACATTCAAACACTTACACAATTTAATATATTGCAGATAAACATTATATTATTGTGAAGGAAAATGCAACATGGCAACACTAACAGACACTTGACCAAAAACAAATGTTCAAAAAGTTCTGCTAAATCATGAAGACGTATGGAACTAATGAACAAGATCTTTAAGATTTGTTTATTGTCATTTCTTGTGTATTTGCAGACATGAAAAAAAAAACAAAATGCTGTTCTCCCAGTCATAGTACAGTGCAAACTAAAAAAATAACAACAATAAATATAAATGCTGTGGAGGTCCCTGCCCTGGGACCAGGCAGTATCTGTTATTAAAATACAACCTGAGCGTGTGGCACATTAAGTACTGGCTGCTATTACTCATACTAAAAATGATGAAACAATGTTGGGCTTTGTTTAGGTTGCCTTCAATTTAAATAAAAGCTTAGATTAAATAACATCAGTCTTTAACTGCCTCGTTATTATGTAACGTAATGGAACAATTACACACATGTAAAACTGTACATGTCTGCTGCAGCCTTTCACTCCGGCCTGATGATGGGGACAAGAAGACGAAGTCTCTCTGATTCATAGAGTCCCTGACAGTTCAAGTTGGCCTTACAGTTGTGTGGCTGTTACTGATTGACTTTGGGATATTTTTCCAGGTGGACATGTTTAAACCCAGCATGGCACTTACAGGGTTAATAGCTTGTAAGCAAAGAAACTTTACTATATTTGTATAATTGTTCTTTTTTTTTGATGATATGAACTAGATCAATAAATTCAAATGAACTTCATTATGTAACATTTTTTGCATCAGTATAGTTTCTTGTCAACATCAGAGCACATGGAAGGAAAAAAATTCTTTTTTTTTTCAAAATTTTTTTTTTTTATTAACTTATACAAAAACTCACTTCTTTGTGTCTTTCATCCGTATGATTTTAAGAATATCTAATTGACCAGTCTTACATCTGAAATACAAGTGTGTCAGAAGAGAAATTATGTGACGATATGAAGGTGAGGAACCTTTGACAGGCTGTTTTTTGTTTCTCTACCCACAGAACAGTGACACTCTGCAGCTCCAAAGCCTTCACTGAAAGAGCTTCTCACACGGAGGCAATGTGACGCTCAACAGGTCTGACCTGCAGTACCTCAGCAAAGCCTTGTCCAAACCAGCAGGTGATGTCAGCCGTGTCGAGGGTGAAGAAGAAGAGTCTGTCTCCGCAGCGGGTCCTCCTGTAGACGGAGCGGGGGTCCGCTGACAGAACCCCTCTGATGGCAGCAGCCGCCTCCTCTGGGCTGCGCAGGAACTTAAACCTGGGTCTGTCACTCTCAGAGGGTCCTGTGTGGTACACAAGTGCAGTCACTCAACTCTGCCATGAATGACTGCTTTCACATTCATCTCTTTCACAACAGCCCCCTCTTGTGGAGAAAAACACTTCACCCTTTTCTCTGCGTACTGTGAGATTGGCTCCATCCCAGTCACTGCACTCAAGGGACTCACAGACTGTGAGGTGTAAAGCATGTGAGGATTTAGAGCTGTCTAACTGTCAAATCATCGAGAGCATAAGGACTCTGATTTTAATGCTATTACACACCTTTTCTGTGAGTCCACATATCTGCAGACATTGCTGAAGGACGTGTCCTTAATTCATAGCAAAATTGGTGATTTATAATGTGGTTGTCACACCCCAAACAAACTGTAACAAACCAAACATGGCTAGTATTGAAAAGAAATTCACTAGGAAGTTTTTCTTTCACAGCTAAAGGCTGCTCACTGCTGTGGTTGCATTTTTATGTCAAACATCCCCATAGGATTTACAGATGTTCACGACTTTCCTGACTTTTGGTAGTTAGCTAAAACATCAAAACACTGTAATGCCTCACACAGGGAGTAGCTCATTTAACTGCAAACTAAACACAAGTCCAACATCCCTTTTTTTATAAAAAACAAAAAAAATGGGACAAATTGTTTCCCATCAATATGTGCTGTCATGATAGTGTGTCCAGTCCCTCTTTCATATACCATGTCAAGGCATCACACACCCACACATTCAAGCACTGCAGCTGTGACGTCAGTTAAGTGTGTTAGGGTTTAGTGTTTCAGCCTATAGGGAGGAGACTGGGATTGGATCACCGTCTTACCTGACAGGTGTGTAGGAAGGAATTCTGCGAGCTGCCTCTCAGCATGAGGAGTGAAACGCACATCCAGACTGGCAACAGGAGCCTCTCTGATCCAGCCAGCAATGGTAGTGTAAGCTTCCTCTCCATAGCAGGGGCGCTCTGGGCCGGTTTTAGGAGGGTCTGAAACTTGATAGCCGCTCTCACAACTTACTTGGTAAATGTTGTCTTGGGTCACAAAGGTTTTGACCTCCTCCAGCACACTGCGAAGGTCGTTGGGCAGAGAAAAGGGAGCATTCCCACTCGATGAATGATCAGTTTCAAACTTGTCTTCTGAGAGGACACTCTCCACACCCTCCTCTGTTCTTTCATCTTTTATGATCACGTTTGTCTCCTCATTGAGCAAAGCAGAAGCTGAGTTTGGTTGGTCTGTGTTTGAACCATGAGGCTCTGAGTCCATGCTCATCCTGGTGTCGGGGGAGTCATACTCTGGGATGTAGGGTTTGATGTCCAGCACTGGGGTGCCAGCAATCATGTCAATGTCTGACAGATGTATTGTATCACCTAGAAAACAAAGAAATGCATTAGTTTCTGTCAGCAGTCCCTTATTTAATTCTCTGGCTGAGAATTAATCCGACAGCAGAAAATTTGACAGTGCAGTTAAATGTCTTGCCAGATCACACAAAAATGGGGGGAAAAAATTGCCATTTAAAGCCGTGTTCAGACAGGATTAACATCACAGAGGCAGACAGCAGGTCTGCAGGACGATCCAGGAGACAACACCTGTAGCTGCCAACACACATTTAATGAACTCCTGTGCTGCAGACAGCTTTCGTTTTTTATTTCCACAACAGGACTTTCATCAGAATAGCAAAAACATTTTACATAAAAATCAAAGTTTCACACTGAGTTAATTTAAAAAATGAGATAGAAGAATAATGAGATCAGCTATGGGATCCACTTTAAACTAGCAGGATATGTTTCTGAACAGGGTTTCATTACAGGAGGACCAGTATGTTCTTTGAATAATAAAAAGAATGAACGGCTGTAACTATTGCCAAAAATGACCCACATATGCAGTCACTGATCAGCACAGGTAATGCCAAAATGCTCCCAACTCCCATAGAGAAATAAATACAGGTCAAACTAGTCTTCAGACACATTTTATCAGCAACACCTACCTTCAATTTTGTCAAGCTTGGCCAGTGTTAGGCCCAGGGCATTCGGTCGGTGCGGGCTGCGTGTGGAGTAAACACCAACTCTCTGACCGTTCAGTCGAGGAGGCTTCACTTTGGCTTTGTAACTGAGGTGGCCGTTTTTGTGAAACAGAAAAATGATCCTGTACAGAACAAATGAGGGAAACAGATAGAGGACATGAAATAAACAGTGGATACACAACGTCTGTATGCGTTTTGTTGAAGTCAGCAGAAAATCCTGTGCAAAATGGACAAATAAAATCCTCCTTCGACAAGACAAGTAGATATACCTGTCAGAAGAAAAACAAGGCTAGTGAACATTACTTATTTATACAGTCCTCAAAAATACTACCGGTCCTTCACATGGCTTCAGATGTTCATATTACAAAGGTAAAATAACACCTCATTCAATTAAAAGCGCATGAGCATGAGTTTCAAACATCTTAATGAAAATGACCCCCCGTCCCTAATGAGTTTTCATTCATGCTTTGCTGCAATCCAATTATACAATTTGAAGAGGTTTTGTGAAGACTCTTGATATCAACTATATGCAGCTCCTGAGAGTTGAAATGCAATAAATCAAGAGCCCACACTCAGCGGACTGAACCAACCGTATTTCACAACATTGTTGAGAAATCAACAATTATGTGTTTTGCTAAATAGCAACACAACAATATGGACTGGATGGTAAAAGATAGATAGAAAAAGAACAAACATGCAGTGCAACAATATCTATAAGTAGCTTACCAGACGTGGGAGTATTGCTCGAGGCCCACCAAAGCGTGATCCGGGTTGTTGAAGACGCTCTGCTGGATTCGCAGTTCTGCCCTCGAGGGGCCACATATAGTGGGCTGTCTGGGGGTCCCGTTCTTCACAGAAAAACAGGAACTGATGTAACCAATAGGGACCGTCTGGATGTTTCCTGTAATGTTACACAGTTAAAAATCTTGTTTAAATGTGTAACAGGTAAACACAGATGCACCTTTCTGTCTGTTAGAACAAGTTACAATATTACACAACAATAAACAATAAAGAGGTCCTATAGACTGACAGGTCAGATCTGCTTTGAAGGCCTTGGAGGGACCTGCACAGAATAACGCAGGTGGTTTTATTGTTGTTGCTGATTATTGTCAACTCTTCCTTTCATTCATTTTATCATTTGTACTTTGCACTTTTATTGTACACGTCTTTTTTTCTTTTATTTCATACAGTACATATAAGACATTCTATACATGTATACTTAAAATACATACAGTTAATCAGTTAAATCATGAAACAGCTGACAGACAATGCTTTTTACTGTTTTACATCATGCATAAATTGATTTAAATGTTTGTATTTTAACACATTTAAATAGGATATTTTGATTAAAATAAGTCATCTAAAGATGTTAGATTTGGCTTTTTGTTTTACAATTTTTGTGACATTTTAGACACTGAATGACATTAAAGTGATGCATTACAGCTCACCATCAGTGCCACCTTGATTCTCTTTGACATGCAACATCACATTTTTTTTCCCCAAAGCACTCTTTAAGCTGGTCTCAGTAACTTTGCTGCTAGATTTGTTGTAATACTTTATTTATTGTTAAATCTTGTATAAGGCTGTTAGAGCCAAATTCATTATTTTTACTTTGATAATATTTCAGTTGAAAGCAAAGTGGTAATATTAAAGATGGGCAACTTCATTTTGATTCTGGAAGAATGCATTTAATAAAATGCATAATTTAGTATTGTTAAGTTTAAAATAGATCTGAGTTTGAGCTTCCAATCAAGTAATGCTACGTCATTCTAATGCAGCTGATGGGGCTTAACTTATCAGATTGAAGCCTGAGATGTTGGAAGTGACACAGTTTTTTTGACCATGTGATTTGTATATTGTTTATTTCTTATTAAACCCTTGAAACCAAGAACTTGTTTCACTGGCGTTTCAAACACGTGTTGCTGGACTGACTTCAAACTGTGGTACAGAAGACGACGGAACTGAGTGCCACTACAGTGGCCTTCTTACTAGGATAGGAATTTGTACCGATATGTGGGTGTATGTAAAGTTTGCCCTTACATTATTATTTAGTAATTACATGATAATGCATCTCAGGAAATGTAGTACAGTTATGCAACAGTATTACAACGAGGAGTGTAATTAATAACTTTCTGCAGGGAGTAAATAAGGATTGTAATGCATTACTTTCTTGAAAAAGCAACAAAGAAAGTGCAATATGTTCCTTTTCTTTAAATTAGGACCCTACGAGTTCTATGTTATCTTACAGTAGATGACACCTTTGAATTAACTGTCTTTGCTTATGTTAGAATTGTCAGCAATGATAATCACCTTGCTCTAATGCAGCCTGTGGTGAAGATGATGAAGGTGATGAAGGTGTTTGGTCTCTCTTATCTTCACTCAATCCCATCTTTGACACAGCAGCCTGAACAGATGTCATCTGTTTGCGATGAGCTCTGACTGCACTGTCCAGCATCTGCCTGTTGGAGAGGAGTTGAAGGGAAAGAAAACTAATGAGAAGAGGAGGACACATGACAGCATAGCCACAAAGAACAAGGGCACTTTTATAGCAGACTTTTATAGCGTTTTGAAAAGTGTAAAGAAGACCAGAGATTGATTTGTTGTGTCTACAGAGAAGCAACGTTTAAGTTCTTAATGTTATTAGCAGATGTGTGCCTCCATTAGTTGATTCCAGGTCACAAACATACCTCAGATTCTTGATTTCTTTTCGCATCACAGAAACCTGCTGGTTCAGTTTCTGAATGTGCTCACAGCAGCAGTCACACCGCGGACTCATGTCGCCGAGTTGAAGAGTGAGAAATCTCTGTTAGCGTTCAGCTGGTGCAACAGAAACAAACAGCGCGAGGCAGGAAACATGTGGGAGCTGCTCAATGCGGAAGTAACGTTTTACTCTTTTATTGTTGGCCAACCAGGAGTGTTTCACGTGACAAACTGGAGACTGACAGCTGCTGTGAAGAGGTGAAGTCTCTGTCGGTTTGTCTCCTCCTGTGTTTTTTAGTTGTGTAATAGAGGTTTTGCAGCAATTACTAGGCGTACATGTTACAAAATACATTGGTAAGTTTCACACTTGTGTTGCACCTCATGTTTTCTATCAGCAGGGGGCAGAGCGGAGCTGCTTTACTATTTTTTTTCAAAAAGCTTTATGTGGAGATTACACAACATGCAGCCAACACAAAGGAATGTGATGTAGTGCGTCTACTCAATACAAAAATGTCGTGTATTTGGATTTAATTTAACTCTACTGCATGTCAGAGGGAAATAACCTATTGTTCCTTAGCTAATTATATAAAAACATGTCTAGTAACTCTACAGGTTCAGGTTTTATATACCACAGATCACCTCAGGCCTATATAATACCATGTGGTATGAATAATATTATTTATAAAGTAATTGTATCTGGCTCTATCTCAACAGTTACAAGTGAAAAATGTTTTAGCCTCGAATGCATCAGGAGGATTAATGAAGTGGAATACTGTACAAAGATATTGAACTGACAGGAGCCTTAATAAGTGACTTTCCTTTGAATAACATGAGCAGCTACATCATCCTGTAATACTTTGTGCTTTTGCTTGAGTAACATTTCAAAGACAGGATTTTCAGTGTTTTCCAATGAGGCTTTGTTAAAGTAAATGGCCTGAATTTAAGCTATGAGCAACAATTATTTTCATAATTGATTTATTTAATGCAGAAAACCATTATCTGACTGTCAGAATAGTTGCCGACTTATTTACTTTTCTGTCAACATAGAAATCGTTTAACTAGATAGTTATAGCAGTTCTAATCTAAATACTTTGTTTATCTCTGTGTATACAATATGTACACTTACGTACAACTGCTACTAGAAAATTTGAAGTTTTATAAACAAGCATTTAGATCCAAATTGTTTGGACAGAAAAGCCTTGACAAACAAGGCACAGATTCAATCAAAGGATAGTAAGGATAGTAATGCATTACTTTCTTGAAAAAGCAACAAAGAAAGTATAATATGTTCCTTTTCTTTAAATTAGGACCCTAAGAGTTCAATGTTATCTTACAGTAGATGACACCTTTGCATTAACTGTCTTTGCTTATGTTAGAATTGTCAGCAATGATAATCACCTTGCTCAAAAAGCCAACACCAAAAACAAATGTACTGTTTCAACTTCACTGACAAGAGATATTAGTATTTACATTGATCACAGTAAAATTTAGCTATCAGGTAGAATTCATCCTCATCATTGCAGCTAATTTTCTAATCTACGTGAAAAAAAATGATGAATTCTGGATGATACACAAAGTCCTCAAAAAACTATAATGAGTAACATCATTTGTTGAAATTAATGTCAGAATTTGAACACAAATACAAACATAGTCTATGGTCTGTTAATTTTTTAAAGATGTAAATAACATGAAATCAAATCAATTAAATAATTTAAAGGATTTTTTGGGGCCAGGGTCATTTATTTGTCATATTTACCATTTTCATGTTGACACACGTTTATGTCACAGGTAATAATGAGCAGAGCAAAATGGTGTAAGCAGTGAATTTTATTTGATGAAAAATATCTTTTACAAAAGTCAATCAAGATAAATCCACAATTACAATATATATAATTACCAGTGATTCCTACCCTTTACTTTTAAATAAAGGCAAGCAAAATTTGCTGTTTGCTAAATGCAAAGTACAAAAAAAAAAAAAAAAAGAATTCACAAGCCTCACAGTGAAGCACAATCCAGAATAAATACACATACAGGTTTCATTTGCATTGCAAAGGTTCAGC